ACCGCAATAAAAAGACAAACGAAATGAGGTATGGAGAAAAAAATACATGTAAATTAGGGCGAGAAACAGGAGGAATAAAAAAGAAGCCTTGGAGGAAACGGTGTTAAGTAAATAACAATTAATTGAATATAATGGGGTAACCGATACAGTGACTGACACTTTAAGAAGGCAGTCGACCTTCCGTTCTCTCCAACTTCTCTATTTTTTTAATAATGCATGAGAATACCTGCTTAGCGAATTAAGAACTGTTGAATGTTAAATTTGTTAAGAATATATTGTTATGATTTTATTATTAGTACCATAAAAATCGCGCATAAGTTGAAGGTAGTCTAAATTTCAGTTATTGACTCTGACATTATAGTAATTGTTACTGTAGTGATTGGCAGTCACTTTTTAGACACATTGAAAGTTTTTGGGCAGTAGGGAAGGCAGGCGAATGTTTCGATCGGTAAATAATATGACCACAGCAATGCCAAATATATTTATAATTTTCTTAATTTACATGTTTTACATTTAAAAACGTTGTCATCTTCAATGTTGAATAGATTGTATTTTACTAAGCACTTTTTATGATAACTGCGTCTGCAGTTTGAACATCTGAATCTGCTACAAGATTTATTCATATTGTAATGTTCGTGGGTTTAACAGAATTATTTTTTTAAGACTGATAACGATAAAACTATTTACACTAACTTTTAATATATCACTATTCACTGCACTATTTATTTCACTGCTATCATTGTCAATTTATTTCTGGACTCATCTCTGCAACAGTCAATTAATTTCTCCTTTCTCGGCGATTGTCTCTTCCTTTAAATACTCTTTTCTTTCCGTTCGAGAACCTTCTGGAACCGTCCGGAAAAGTTTCTTTTTCTTTGAACTGTTTAATTGCTTTGCCAGAACGCAGGTACGACACACACATTTACAAATATGGCGCACATGAAGAAAGGCGCCTGCGGCTAGTCGGCGAATCGATAAGCCGCTCAGACACACGTATGCCCGATCGCACACAAATACGCCCGTGCTCGCTACAAGACCTCCGGTACAAGAGAAACACAATCCACCTGTAATTAACATAACTGCCAATAACTGGCGGAGTGCCAACAACTGTACTGTATACCCTACCAGTATATTTGAGAGGAAATAAAGATGTGATGATTATCGCAAGGTTCAGAATGGGGAGCGAACGTAATATGAATAAATACTGGTTGAAAAAGGGGAAGAAAAATTATAGAATATGCGGAAAAGAGAATGAAGTTATAAAGCATGTGATAGAGGAAGGTATGGAAAATGATGTAGAGAGTGATTTTAAAGAACTATTAGGAGCAGAAAGTAAGGGTATGCCTCTATTGAAGAATATTTTAAGAAGGAGAATAGGTATCAGAGGGAATAGGAATATAGTTTTTCTTTTATTTAAAAAAACCACACTATTTAAAATACAAAACAGTAAAGAGAAAAACCCAATTAGTTTTAACAGCAACATTTAGACTAGAGAGTGAGAATGGCATGAGGAGGTACTGGGAAGAAGAAGAAGAAGAGAAGAAAATATATAGGCTGTGTAAATTGGAACAAGATACGTAATAGGAAATGGTACGAAAAGTTCAAATCGAAGGAAAGGATGAGGAAATCTTAAGAAGGAAAATATCAGAAAAACAAAACCTATGTCGGCTATTTCTTATTGCTTTTTATAACACTCAACCGTTTCCAATACATTACCTTCTCTTTTTCAACCTTTTCTATTCACGGTGGTTTAACATCGTCCTGTAGCATCACATCTCAATTTCCATTATGTTTTCGTTTAATCACAATTTTTGTTTGCACGAAGTGCTGTACTAAAGGTTTAAATTAGGTAATGGTGTAATATGTCTCCCTGATTGACATGACTGAAGCATTACGCAGTAGTGGTATGTACTAGGTTAAGTTATGAGAAAAGTGTCCCTAATCGACATGTGCAGTTATTCTAGGGGTTTCCTTTGTTAGTACTGATGTCTTGATTAAAATTTGAGCGCGACTTAATGGAAAGTATTTTTGAAAACATAGCGTTTCCTGTTCTATGTTTCAAGTTATAATTAGATAAATTCGATATTTTTTCTCGTTGTGCATAAACCGTTAATAGACGGCGGTGTAGATTCTGTAAATACTAATTAGGATAATACTTTCCAGCAAGATACTTTCTGAAGAAGATAGTAACATTCCTCTCAAAACGCTAAGTACTTTGAACAAACGACGTAGAAAATAGTTCGAAAGTAGTCAGACCGTTAATGGAATGACAGACCAAAAAGAGAAGTTGGTTATTGATGCTGAAGTCAATATTGTATAAGGTACCCAGAAGTAGAATGGGCTTGTTCAGTAATTTTTTTTAATTCATAAATCGAAAGTTCAAGTGAAATATAAAACATCTGTAAAAAAAATATTCGCACGTTTAGTGTCTTACAAACAATTACAAAGTGCCTCTTATGCGGTATGTCATTATACGCATAGGGTTAGTGATTATATGCGACTCAATACTACATACTAGTCGTTATAAACTGTATTTCACTACATTAGACAATACACACTTAGATGACAGTTGCCATTTTTGCTTCTGTTAGCCTTTTTTTCAGAAGTACTTATAGTACATTATAATATTGTCCTCCTAACCTTTGTCTTTATTTAAGAAAGTAATTCCGGTTATTTTAGTGCTTCCAGATGTATAATACAGAGAACATGCTACACATAAAATTTATTTTAGGCAAGCATTTATTGGGTAAATAGATATGTCATTAGTCAATTTGAATTTCTTTAAGAAAACTAAATAAGAATAAAATTTAAAATAATAATATTTACTATACTTACTACTATCATACCCTTACTACTACTACCTTTTTTTATACCTTTTTATAATGAAGATCACAGTTTGTATTTAAAAATAAGCAGTAAGGACGTATAACTGTTTTATTTTGCAATAAGATTAATTTATACCGTTTCTTTTTTTGCTCAGCTGATAGATTAATAGGAGTAAAATATATGATATTAATTACTTTAAATTAGTAGAATGAAGGTTCGGGCTATAGGGCCGTGCAGTTCTGAAACCTAAATGTTGGTTTCGTTATGTGAATGACACCTTTGTGGTCTGGAGTCATGGAGAAGAAGCTCTTACCAATTTTTTGCTGCACATCAATGCCATTCATCCCCGTATTCAGTTCACTATGGAGAAAGAAAACAACGGGAAACTGGCCTTCCTAGACGTACTTGTCAACAGAAAATCCGATGGATCCCTCGGCCACACTGTGTATCGCAAGCCTACACACACTGATCGTTACCTCAATAAAGACTCCAATCAGCACCCAGCGCAGAAGCGAGCCATGTTGAAAATCCTTATTCATCGAGCTAATCGTATTTGTGAAGCTTCCCTTTTAGATCAAGAACTCCGCCATCTAGATCAAGCCCTTCAATCCAATGGCTGTACGTCCCAGGAGAACTGTACCGGAGACACCTCAACCACCGCCAGTAGGTTTCGCCTACCATATATTAAAACGGTCACGGATCGCATCGGGAAGTTATTGAAGCGTCATAACATCAGAACCTTCTTCAAACCCACACAACAGCTACGAACCTTCATAAGATCGGCTGAAGATCCTAGAGACCCTTTAACATCTGCTGGTGTTTATAGAATCCCTTGTTCCTGCGGAGGAGTCTACATTGGTACCACAAAACGCAGCATCAAAACAAGAATAGCCGAACATGGACGCTGTTGTCGACTTCTACAACCTGAGAGAGCCCTAGCTGAGCATTCAATAGGAGACCCCAACCATATTGTTAACTACGACGGAACTACGGTTTTATCTAGAAGTTCATAATATTACGCTCCCTTGCATAGAGAAGCTATTGAAATTTATAAACATCCGATTAATTTCAATAGAAAAGAAGAAGGGCCTCGTTTGAATAAGGTATGGTACCCAGTCCTAAAGAAAACTACGCAGAAAGCGCCGAACACACTAACAAGCCATTCGTGTACACCGAGCGTTCATCGGATGAGTCAAGCAGACGCTGACGCCGACGAAGCTACGCCCCTTCCCCTCCCACTCCGCCGCATTATAAATATCAGTGATCAGCCAGCTCTCCACGTTCATCCTTCGATCGACCTTCACAGCGAGCGAATCTTCTCAGCATACAGCAGCAGCCTACCAGTCTTCCACCCTCGACTATTCTCCAGCTGATCTTTGAGCAGAGCAGACCAGTAGCAGCCTTCAACGGACGGATTAGCCGACAACGCCGACCGTCAATATTCGATAGCCGTCAGTACGTTCGATAGCCAACGCTTAACGCTTAAAGCTATCAAACTATAGACCATTACTGCCCAGCCGATTAAACGGTAAGCTATTAAATATTTTTCTAACTAACCAACGTTCACTGGGACCGAGTACGCAACGTCCCTTTGAATCTAATACTCACCCTGTTAGGAAACTAATAAACTAACAAACACAAACACACGTTGCACACACATACACTCCTCGCATCCTAAACTACATATTGACACACATACACACCTACACAGTTCACATTCTACATTCAGCGTTCACGATGGCCACCACCTTTGGCACTCCTGGTAAGAGGACTAGGGCCGTCTCGCCAAGCGATGAACATTCTCACGAGAACGTGATTCGCAGGCGAAGACACTCCGACTCCTCGCACTCATCACCTTCTTCCCCGACCTATTCCTCTATTACCTCCCAAACCTCCTCAACCCCTACTTTCGAAGCGCTAATTTCCGACATCCCGGATAAATTCTCGAATCAGAAATCCCTATACAACACCATCCGAAGCTTACCTTCCATAATTTTCCTGACCCTTACCGTTTTCCGCGGTAATAAAGCGATAGTCACATCCAAAGATCCCGACATCGTGAAAAAACTTTCTCCCCTAAGGGCTCTTTTATCCGAAAAGATGAAGATTCAGCCTTACCGAAATCCAAAGTCCAAATCCCCTACCACTTCAAAGCCGACAACGTTTAGACCTACCTTCTCCTGCGTTATTCGATCTGTAGATCTGAATATATCCTCGACCGACATCCTATCCGCCCTTAAAGATCAGAAGATCAATGCCAAAAATGCCTGGCGTATCAAGTCCAGGCAAACAGGCAAAGACACCTTCCTCTTTAGGGTAATATCAAATTGTCCTAAATCCATAGACGTCCTTCTCTCCAAAGGCTTCACCATGTTCTCTAAGATCTACAGGTGCGAACCTTCCCAATCCCCAGGTCCTCAACCCCTACAATGTGGCAAATGCTTTACATTTGGCCACAACACCGCCTCTTGCTCCCAAAAGCAACCTTCCTGCTACCGCTGCGGCGGCAACCATCCCTCTTCTTCCTGCACCTCCTCCCCATCCTGCTCCAATTGCAAAGGCAAGCACCTTGCCTTTGACTCGAAATGTCCCAACAGACCCTCTCCTAAATCCCTAACACCAACGAAAACCGCACCTATCAAGTGTGTCGATCCACCAGCTGACGAAATGTCTGAAGACGATTCGTCAGAAACCACCGAAACCACTCCCGATCCCAGACGCTTCACCAGGATCGACGACACAATCAGATTCACATACCTTTGCATGACATCCCTACACCCAAACCAACGCTTCGTCGAAAGCGTAGTCGCCCGCCAAGCCGCCCAGTTCTTCAGGCGCAAAGTTTCGTACGTTTACCGAGGTAACAACGTACATTTATCCATAACACCAATCACCTCACTTCCAAGATACTCCCACGCCTAAATCCTAAACCAAACCAATCGATGACTCATCTTCCCCGTTAATTTACATTCGCGGACTTTAAAATTTGTACAGTTAACACAAACGGATGGAAGAGAAAAAAGAACAACATAATACACACAGTAAATAATGGTTCAATACACATTCTCGCATTACAAGAAACACTATCTACATTCAAAGAACGGCAATACATAGCACAGTACAACATCTACCGAAACGACAAACTACTCCACACAAAAGGGACGGCCCTAATCATACACAATTCCATTGCATCTAACCGATTTTTCCTACCACCACAATTCCAAGAACTCGACTGCTGCGCAGCTACGCTGCACCTTCACTCCGGAGAGATTATTATCTTTTCGTTTTATAACAAACCCTCTACCAGGCTACCAGCCGAGTTCTTATCCTACGTATCAACCATTCCTAGAGCCATAGTTCTAGGAGACTTTAACGCGCGACACACTACATTCGGAGATACTAGTACAAACGCCAACGGGCGAATACTCGCCAACGCACTTCTCACACACAATTTATTCCGTATTAGAAACACAAATTTCACCTTTTTAAGCCATCAAGGCTCGTCCATTCCAGACCATATACTCTGTACGGACAGAGTCGCGCCACTTTTCTCCGACGAATGTGCGATAGGTACTCCAATAACTAGCGACCACGTACCACTGTCCGCCACACTTAATATCCGATCATGTAAAATTACATTTAACTCGTTTAAAGAAATACGCGACTACAAGAACATTAATTTCGACAACCTTCGCGAACACATCAGCAAATCTAACCTCCTCCCACCGACACTAAACACTCGAGAAGAAATCGACACCGCGATAGAAACGTACAACACTTGTGTACAAAACGCGATACACGAAACTGCACCAGTCAAAGTAATCTGTATAGGCCGAAAACCTCTCCCGCGTGAGATAATCGATTTAATTAAAAGAAAGCGCGCATTGTATAGGCAATTTACTAGAACCCGCGATCCACTCGTTAAAACAGAATGGAACAGATTAAACGCGTTAGTACGACTCAAAACAAACAAACATCAGGAAAAACGATGGCACGAAACCTGTTCTAAACTTAATTTTCACGACGGCTCCAAATTTTGGAATAAATTCAAAACAATTACCGGCCAAAAACAACCTACTATTACTCATTTAGTCATCAACAATCAGATCTACAATACAGCGGAAGAAAAATCAAATGCATTCGCCGATACTTTGCAAAATTTACACGTTACCTACACGGGCCCACACCACGACGCGATACACGCCGCGAGAATAGATTATAACATCACAAACATAATACAAACCGCACAACACGACGAAAATCACATTTTACGCGAAATAACACAAGACGATGTCACAGACACATTCAGCAAACTCAAAAACAATTCACCTGGTGAAGACGGAATCACCAACAGTATCATTAAAAACCTACCTCCCATCGCTATGGAGTACCTTATCACCATATTCAACGCGATTCTCAAAACGGGATACTATCCGACCAACTGGAAAACCGCGAACATTGTCATGATCCCGAAAGCAGACAAAGATCACACGGATCCCAAATCCTACCGACCAATTTCTTTAGTAAATAACACCGGCAAAATATTCGAAAGAATACTCGCGACACGCCTTTCAGACTACTGCAAGGACAACAACATCATCCCAGACAGCCAAGCCGGGTTCCGTAAGGGACTAAACTCCCTTGACCCGGTACTCAAATTACAAACAGAGGCAATATCTGCCATGAACTCGGGCGGTTGTACCTTAGCAGTAGCACTCGACTTTGAAAGAGCGTTTGACACAGTTTGGCATAACGGGCTACTATCCAAACTATTACAAATTAACCTTTCTCCTTTCGTCGTAAAATTAATTCACTCTTTCCTAACGGATAGACCGTCAAAAATCAAAATAGGGAACACGTTATCACGCGTATTCACACTAACCGCAGGCGTACCCCAAGGCACGGTCCTTGCGCCACTATTATATAACATATACTGTCACGACATTCCACAGCCGCTAGATAATTCAATAAGTCTGGCTCAGTACGCAGACGACACCGCCTATTGGGCATACGGTATAAACACAAATTCATGTAACTCAAAAATTAATCTTCAAATCAATCAACTCGAACTGTGGCTCAGTAAATGGCGTATAAAACCCAACCCAAACAAAACCCAACTCATCCTTTTCAGACATCCTAACCTCGTCACCAAAAAATCCCTTTCAACGCGCGACATAAATGTTACACTACTTAACACCCGACTAACACTAAAAACAGAAATAAAATACTTAGGAATCACACTAACACACACAATGAACCCACACACAGACATCACAAACACACTGGATAGAGTACGAAAACGCGCTAACTTAATCTCTCTAATAAACGGTCGAATAAAGACGTGTGATACCAAAACACTTCTACACACATACAAAACATTTGTAAGACCCCTTATAGATTATCGCGCAGTATCACTAACCACAGCCACACCATCATACACACACAAAATACTCACAACTGAGAGGTGTATTTTACGAAAAATCGCGAGACTAAGTAAATTCTTTCCTTCCGACACATTATACGAAAACATTGACATAACACCAATCCCCACACGCATAAACACACTACAAACACGCTTCACTAAAAGAGCCATCGAAAACACCAACCCCATCACAACCAAAACCCTATCCCACATACCCCGAAGGATCACATAAAAACCAAAAAACAAAATCCCCTTCCCTCCTGCTAAATTATTAGCAACCATTCCCGACCTCCCTGACGAATACCTCAATTACCTCGATAACCTTCCCAACTCCTTAAAATAACCCCACACACACACACACACCTACACACACACACACACACACACACATACAAACGCATTTTTAACACAACCACATAAAATTCTGATCATCAGTTGGCTGAAGAGGAACTTAATTGATCCTATAACGGCCTGAAGTAGAGGGGTTTTAGTCGGTAGGTCTGAGGACACCTTCCTCGGGAATCTGACACTACCCAGTCGTGCGGACGGCTGGGTGTCTTTTGAAGATTTCCCCTCTTCCACGAAAACACAAAAAAAAAAAAACAGCTCTCCACCACCGAGCGGCATGGCCTAGAGGTCTAGACCATTGCTTAGCATTCGGGAGGACGCCAGTTCGATTCCGGGTCCGTTTACCTTGGTCCAAGTTTTCCTGTGGTTTCCTTGGATCACTTAGGCAAATGCTGGGGCGGTAATATTCCACAGATAATCTTTCACTCTCTTCTGTCTTCATTTCGTCCGTCTCATCTTTCTCAACCGAACCACCATCCACCCATTCCCACGATTCCTGAAAGCAGGCTGAAGAGGGACTTCCGCCCTACCTTTCGGCATAGTCCGGAGGGACTGCCCGCCCACCAGCATTACTGGCTGGTGGGAATGAAACACCCAAAAGTTTTTTTCAGCTCTTCACCCAGTCGCTGTCGAGACGTCGAGATATAATCTACGTTTATGTTGTCAACGCGGCACCACCACTGAGAATGTCAGCCGCAGTATCTGACGAAACGTCTGAACGGGTTCACTTAGACCATGGCCCTGTAGCCCGAATCTTCATTCTACTATGGATTCCGGCCGTGAAAGCCTTTGTTCTTATACTTTAGATTAATTAAATTAATATAATCTGCAAATCTAAGCATACTAATCATTTGCCCTTGTATATCTATACCTACAGGTGTACTGTCTTTAATGATGTTGATCGCGTCTTCAATGTATAGATTAAAAAGTAGCAGTGACAGTGTGCATCCCTGTCTGACTACCTTCCTAATATTTATTTCTCTACGTTGCAGCCCATCTGTGTAACTGCCTGTTGCTCTATAGAAACTAAGTAAAAAAATAAAAAAAAAATTTCGGAACAAGCCCATTACTCGCGATCGGCAATCTTGCTTCAGATATTCCGCAGTGAAGTAAGCTACCTGTATGTTCTCATGCATCTGATTTATTGCTGTTGGTTCATTATTTACGTAAGTTTAAGTTATTCTGATATAATGTCTTACATGATTTCGCTGCATCTATGTTTCCAAGTTATTGTGCTAATAGATTTATTGGACAAAGTGTCATAACATTAATTTATAATGGCTGACAGAGGGAAATTCTTCAGAAATCTTGATGTATAGACTAGTTTGAAGTGTTTTTGAAGTTAAAAATAGCCCTTAATATTACATTATTTGTTAGTTGTTAACTTATCAAATTGAAGTTCACAATAGCACTGTAAAATAATTTCATAATAAAGTAAGTGGGTGTGTGTACCAAAGCAAGTATGTGTGCAAACAAAAATGATATTGACTTCGTTGCCAATGAAAGCGATTAACAATAATACGGCCCGTAAAAAAACATAAAATTTAGTCAAGCCGTTTTATCGCTTAAACAAAAAGTCTGCACAAAAGTAGATTTGGAGAATTCTCCAATGAATATTTGTTTACGTATTTGGTACTTTATGTAGGGAAGCTGTCCGTATGGACCCCAAGAAGCATACAATATTTATTTATATTGTAATGGTACATTTTTTTAAACTAAAGCGTGCAGAAGATAAATTGAAATGATCAAAAATTTTGAGAAACATTGCAGTATAGTATAAGGAGATTGTATATGCATATTAAAGGAGTAACTGCTGAAAACTTTATCAAAGAACTTGAATCTTTGCGGAAGGCAAGGTATCTAAAATGAAAGCAATCATTTTGCGGTAAATTAGTCTAAATAGCATAATAATTAACTTCACCATCAGTCATTTGTCGAATTAAATTCTATTTTCGGCTATGTCTTTTTTAAATGCTGTATTATAATAGTTTCTAATTGTATCGTTATTTTAATTACCAAAAAGCGATATCTGTATCGTTAAAATTATTCAAATCACTTGATGTTTGACACAACTTCTGGGAAACTTCAACTGTATATGATATATTCTTCGTGGTTAATAGAGTTCGTTGATTTTTAATCTGGTCGTTCAATGAAATTTCTATGTCACTGGCGGAACAAGAAGCTGGCAAACAGATTCCAACAAATGCCACATCTCTGCGTATCTGAGAACTGTCATCTTTTTTCTGAAAATGTTAAATAATTCGTTAATAACGAATGTTTCTTTTAGAATTTTTATTAAACTTAGTCTAAGGTCTAGCTAAACAAGGCAGGGTTACTTATGTGCCATTTAACACAAAATAAAAATGCAACAAGCAGATTTTAGACGGGCTGGTGTACTTTGCCCACTGAAAACATTATTGTTTTATATTTCAGAGACACAGATTTATAGATTTATTCAATTATTGAATTTACTTATCTTAATTATTAATAACTTCTTACGCATTTATCAACAAAACTGAAAATATGTGTTTGAAGTACAATATTAACAGAAATTTCAAATTGCATTAGCAAAAATACTAATAGTGTTATTATTGTGACAAAAGTGTGCATTAACTAGGACAATGATAGTACCAAGTAAGTACTATATATTTATAGAAATAATAAAAATAAAGCATTTCACACAATATTCACTAACTTGTATCAACCCAAGGGAATTCTCAAGTTATCCCTGTTTCCCGGCCGACTAAATGTGTGCTTTGTGTGTGTCACTTTGCCAGTTACCTACACGATCCCTTTTTTAATCATTCATCATACTTGAAACATGATATCTGACTATTACAGAACTGAAAGAAATATCCTATAACTAGGAAAAATTTGTAAAAGAATATGTGTTACATTTTACATATAAACCTTATCATAAATCATCGGTTTCGATGTTATTTTTAATAAAAGTAATTTCGATCGAACCGTCGTATAAACGGACCAGTTTTTGTCTTGTCCGTTTTGTCTTGCTCCGTTATTTTAGTATTTGATAACGTTATAAAATTAGGTTGCTATCGAGTGGTAATTATTCAATATCTGATATTTAGCAGACCCATTGTTGTGATAAATCCTAATTATTTTATTTTGTGCAGTGGTTGTTACGAATCTGACTTTCAACAAATTCAGTGCTGTGTCATATCTCTACTTTTGGAGGAACCTTTTGCTAAGCTATCGAGAATGAAATGTCTAACAACTCTGAAATCTCGCTTCCCGATGATGCTGTCTTTGCGGACGACCAAAGCGTAAAGTTTGATCAAATTCCACGATGACTTGATCATAGAAAGTCGCAACTCCATCACGTGAACGTCCAATAACACTACGAAAATCGAAGTCTTCGAACAGAAAGTCTCTCTTCTGCAAGTTGAAATAAATAAATGAGAATATCGTTCTCTATAGACCCCTTAATGACGACACGATAACGAAGCTATTGAAGACACAGTGAAATTGTCCTTCTCGAAGGCTGCACTCGAGCTCCCGGATCATCATCATCATCGACACGCGTCGCCTCGGAAAAGAGAGTAGAAATCATCCTTGGTCAAATTTAATTCTACGACCTAGGAAAATAAAACGTTCCGAGTTGTAGCGGAGCTGCGAAAATTCGGTCCATTCATATCTAATGACCTATCTGGAGCGGAGAGAGCCTAGAGACGTTGATGCCTTGCTGAAAACATCAATCATCAGTTCCAGGCAGACCTAGTGGTGGCTTCACCATACTGTACAACCCTCCTATTTACAATATTGAATGTATCTTTTATCGAACTTCATCGCCATCAAGATTTAAACGACATTTGAAGCGATATACTCAAAAACCTCAATACCCCAGCGTTTATCGGGGATGATTTTAATGCCCGCGTTTCAAATCTTAATCCATTTGACTTAAAAGTAACTTGTAATTATTTAAATATGTTACCTGAATTGGAAAATAAAATTATTAACGGTAAAGGAGAACATTTGATGGAGTCTATGGAATCACACGAAATGCTATTGTTATTGTCGAACCTTCCCCGACATCCCCGCAAAATTACCTCTAAATTGGGTTGCAGTGTTATTGTTTCAATTTGGTGTTCGATAGGTGGTACTTCCACGTGCGTTGATCTGAAAAGAATTCAGAGGCCGAAGACATCTGACCGTAAAACTATTCTCCTGTCTTTAAATTTTCAGCTCCCTCAAATCATGAAACCTTAACAACCCTTCTCCGGGTAAACTGTCTTGCAAAAAAGTCGATTGTGCTGGTGAACAGAATTAAATAAAATTCTTGGTAATGTGAACGAACTCAATTCGACTCATAGGAGAACAGAGGACTATATGTGTGAATAAGAAATAGGTAGGTTAGCAGGACAACTTCTCAGGCATGAAAGTATAGTCAGAGACTTATTAGATTCAGAAAGAGAAGTTAGGAGGGGTAGAGGTAGACCTATATTAGATTACTGTTCGAAAATAGATAATGATATGGGTTGTTCTAGTTTTACGGAAATGCGAAGATTAGGTCAGGGTAGGAAAGAGTGGAGGTGCGTGTCCAAACAGTATTAGGACTAACTGACGACCTTATGATGAACCAACTTAACGAACGGTAAACCGTGGTTTGACATGGAATATCGTTCGGCAAAAAGGAACTTCCGTATAGTATTGAAACAGTGTCGTTATTCCCACTTATCATGTGAATCACTCACACTGTTACGCAAAAAATTTTTATAAACAGCTAGAAGTTAAAAAAAAAACTTTTAACTTGAACTTAAGACTTGTGTGCGGCTCAAATGAAATATATATATATATATATATATATGCCTCAATTTATTATGAAAAAGAATAAAAATAAAAAACATTTTTAATAACAAGCTTTTATTTAAAAAAGCGCGAACTAAAATGGAAAAAATAAAATTAAGTGACATGTCTTATACATGTGTTATATTCCAAAGTTGTGTATATGCATGAATATAGTATATAAATTCTAGGTTCGGAGTGATCCCTCTGTTGGTAATTTTGAATGTATAGTGAATCTGCATAACAAATAGCGTACATCAGTGCCTCAAGCTTTTAAAGTTACCAAGAAAGGGGTCACTCCGAACCTAGAATTTATCTACTATATTCATGTATATACATATATAAGACATGTCACTTAACACGTTTTTTGAAATAAAAGCTTTTTTTTTAATAGGTTTTTTATTTTATTTTTTTTATTTACGTAGAATTCGATTAACTATTGTTCTTTCAAATTGTAATATTTCCTGTGTATCAAATAGACTTGCTTAGTGTGAATTAGTTAGTTAGGGGAAGCTACAAAGCACCACACAAAGGTGTATACGTTTATCTATTTTTATTGTCGCATTTTTGTTCTATCGAGTTTCAAATCCCGATAATATCATAATATTGCATTGTCACGTACATGAGTATATCAAATTTTAGCTCAATCGGATAACCAGAAGTGGTCGAAAAATGGCTTGCAAGATTTGACGCGGACAACTTACATACGCACATTACGGGGTTTAATAGCAATTTGTGAGCATTTTGATCATCATTGTAATAAAAAAATAATAATATATAATCTGTCGTGTTGCTAGTTTGTCAAGTAAACAGCTTCCTTATAACACTGTGAAATACCCAAAAATTGTGCATCTGTGCTGGAAAGTGCAACAACCCTTTGTTTCTTTCCCATGATATGACAATTCCTGTTAATTTAAAAATATAACTTGTGTATGACCTTCTACTAATAATGTCACTATCCCAATCAGCATCAACAAAACCATTGTTTTGAATCACCTTTCAAGGCGTAAGATTTAGTCTTCTTTAAACATTTTAAAATTCGTTTTGCATGATGCTCATGTTCCTTGGTGTAACAGTTTTTAAACTGACTCATACAACTCACTGAATATGCTATATCAGGACGACTTAAAACAGAAAGGTACATTAAACTACCTATTAGCTGTTGGTATGGTAAACTATTATCACATTGGTTACAATCATTGGGACTCAATTTGCAATCCATAGGCGTGTCTGATTAACTACAATCCACCATGTTAAATTTGCTTAACAATTGATTTACATAGCTCTCTTGGTCCAATTTTATCATATTTTTATTAAAGGAAATTCCCATTCTTAAACATTTCCTTATTTTACCTAAATATTTGATCTTAAAGCTACTTCCTAATATTCTTTTCAAACTATTTACATCCTCATAATCATAACTTAACCGTCGTGAATACTTTATTCAATAATCACGTTAGGAGGTGCTATACGTGGAAGATGTCAGGTGATTTAGAGAGACATCAGTTAGATTACATACTTGTTAGGCAAAGATTTAGAAAACAAATGATGGACTCTCGGAGTTAACCAGAAGCAGATCTGGATAGCGAACATAACTTAGTAGTTATGAAAACCAATTTTAAATTGAAAATTCTGAAAAAGAGGGAAGGTAAGAAATATCTTGACTATTAAAAGCTAGAATGTAACAACGCGTGATAGGCTAGGTACAAGGACAGATGAAATACTAAAGACGACGGGCAAAACGAATGACAGGGACATAGAGACAGAATGGAACTGCATTGAAACATGCCTAGGAAGCTACAGATATACTAGGTCTTAAACAAAACGAAAGAAGGAAATCGTGGATAATAAAGGGAATTTTAGAGATGTAGGATACAGTAGTAATAATTAAAGAAGCAAGGTAGGGGTCATTTTGATAGAAAATGAGGAAAATAAGAAGAAAAGGTGGAAGAATATTTAGATAAACTATACACATGCCATGAATGAGGAGATATATTAGAGAAGGAAGATTGTGGGGTGATAGATGAGCTAGGTTATTATGACACAAGAGTTCGATGTAGCATTAAAAAATTTAAATAACAATAAGGCGCCAGGTATAGATGGGATACAAGGGGAGATTCTTAAACATGCAGGACGAGAGGTTAAAGATCGTATGTTTAAGCTAGTTAGCACACTTACGAGACGGGGAAAGTCCCAGAAGATTATAAATGGAAGGTAGTAGTAACCATAAATACATAGAGAGGTGCGCATAGGTGCGAGACATTTAGAACAAACAACAACTAACTTCCCATGCGTGAAAAATTTTTACTAGAATTGTACAGAGGAGGAAGGAAAAAATAGCGGAAAAACTATTAGGGGAAGATCAATCTGGGTTTAGAAGAAATAGAAGAACGCGGGAGATGATTCTAGCTTTTCGGGGAACAATAGAGAAAACGATAGA